ACATATCGTCACCTTAGTGCAATTACTGGTTAACACGTATTAAGTTTAGAAAGACTCAACCCGTTACTGCACTAAAGTGACAATATTTTCATTGGTAATCATAAAAGAATGAGGAGAAGTTGTTGAATAAGAAAGTTGGTGCACTTAAATTAGAGTATTATCGTTGTGGTAGCTTGATTTATTATTATTACTACAAGTATATGAACCGGATATACATGTCTTGTACGTATGTATGCTGTATTTCTGGACGAGGTGGGGGTAGTTTGCAAAATACATACCAAGCAAGATTGAATTTTTGATCAGTAATACATTTTTAGGTACCTATATATTGATCTGTACTCGATATCACCTTGACGCTTTTCATTTTATCACTAAGGACACAGCTATTCAACCTTTAAAATGGATTTTATCAACCTCTTGGTGTATGGATCCTCATTTTAAGAGAAGAAGTTAAAAGTCTTTGTTGAAGTGAAAATTTGAATTTATCCACCTTATCACAGTTTAAACGTTGTCACAATATGTACACAGTCATTTCCTCTTGCTCCCCTTATACTTCAGCTGGCAGTTGTCATTAAAATTGATTAAAATATTAAATAACATTATTAAAGAGTTAATTTCTTTTTCTTGCCAAAATAAATTAAAAACAAAAACAACTTCACCTGTTTATCATGACGTAAAATACGTATTAATTTCTTAATATATATGCCAAAATATGGTTATATTTTAACTATTTCATTGAATAAGTAATATCTATATTTCTATGTTTGAAATAGCGTATGTTGTCTTTTATGGGCTATTACTTTGGCAAAACATTTTTTCCATTAATTCTATATAAATTGTGATCAGTCATTACATTAGGATCTGATCTAAGATTTTAGATGTTTTTTTTTATCAATTAAAAGTAATAACTGATGGACTTTTTTCTAGTTATAAGTTTTCCTTCTTAATGAATAACTTCACATTTCTGATTGATCGTTACTTACTTACCTCACTTTGTTAGAGGTCAATTGAACGTAAAATGTACAAATTAAGAACATTTTAGCCGACTTTTAATGTATATTAAAAATGGAGGTACTTGATATTTCTTTAAGGATTTATGTTTGTTTGTGAATGATTTGTGTAGTTGACTGCATTTATCTTTACAGTATATAACTGAGAAATTAAATAATATTTTCACTCATATATTTTGTTGTTGTAATTTACTCATTTGTTACCTTGTGCCGAGACATAGATACCAAATGCATAAATAGTAAATAAAAGTAAATAATTTAATCTTTGCAATTCTTTGCCCCTAGTACAGCTATTATGTTTTCTTTTCCCATAATTCTGAATTAATTTACAATTTGAACTTGCAGATTTCAAGCATGTACTTTTTTGTTTTTACTTTAAAGACGCCCGCTTTGTTCAATATGTGAACATTGGATAAATAATCCAGGGGTCGCTAGTTTAACCCTCGAATGATTCTTATTTTGTCTCTGACATTGGATCTGCTGGTCATTTGTTCAGAAATCATGTGGAATAATTACTCAATGTAGTAGTCGGTCACTTGTAGAGACATAGGTCGTTACTGGCTAATTATCCTGGAAAGCCGATTATGTGGGCCGATCGTCGAGTTATGACCAAACCATATGTCATTATTTATAACCGATGTAAAACCAGAAGAAAAAAAAACAAAGTGATAGAAAATAAGAGTTGACAATAGGAAACAGGGTTTTATTTAGGTTTCATAAGATATTCTGAAAGTGCAACATCTCTCGCACCCCGTACCACCGCCTTAGTGATAATCGGCACTAATTAACGGTATGGAAAGTGTTGGCCCCCAGATGATAAAAAAACACATTTAAATAACAACCATAAGCCTTGCTTCAAGATCGTAACGATGAGAAGAAGTTTGACTTGATAAATGAGACATTAAAACGTCTATATTAGGCAGTAATCTTACAGTCTAACCATATGTTTCTTATGATTACTCTATATGTCGCATGATTTCAGACTATTTCGTATATGAAAGGAATAAATATAAACGCTACAATGCACTGTGAAGGAGACGATACATTTTAATCAATGTTAAGTGTGCGGTGTGATAATTCGGCCGAGAGTATTTGTTATCATCATTCACGAGGTTTGTCAAGGGGTTTGTTATCATGAAATATTTGTAGCTTGTCAGTTTTTCCTCTTAACCTATCGTGATAGAAAACTACCACTGTAAGGTTACAATAAATGATTCTCGGTCATTTATTTTTCAGTTCTCACACATGCTATCAATATAAACGATACTTTTATGTGTCAACCGGTTTCTTCTTTAGCAAGAGAGATTAAACTTTATAGAATAGCACTATAACCACCCGTCTAGGAGTGCATTTTATTGAGGCTATTTTACCCAGCTGGAGCATAGTTGTTTTTGTTGTTGCATTTTATTTGGTTGTTGGGTTGTGTCTGTTTGGTAAGATATATTGGTTGATATTGGTCGAGCTGTATAGTCAAGATTATATTAGCTGATAAATGATGTGTGTTTGTTTTTGGTGTAAATAATGATCAGAGTTCTTTGTTTTGGGTGTATTTGTTGATTAAATGTATATATTACTTAGAGATAGAAAAAGATAAAAAAAAATACCATTAAGGCAGTCATTCTCCAGACAAGGTGTCTATTATACATCTAACGTTATAGCCTTATGACGGTTTATTTTCCCTTTAGTTCTATTTCTCCAATCTTTTCATATAACTTTCATAAAATATCAATTAAAAATCTTTCCAAAAAGTGCATTTTTATTCCATCTTTTAAATCATAATCACTGGCCTTGAATGATTTGCCATTGTTTTAAATCTCATAATTCATTTTCTCGAGCGAACTAGCATATCCTCATTTGCGCGGAAAAAGTTAATCATTTTGCGTACGAGTTGATTTCTGCTTCTCAATTTAGAAAAAAAACACACAAAAAGACGAAAGAGGAGCCAACGTCAACACCGGGTCAAGTTTTAACTGTTTTTATTATTCTACTAAGTTCGGTTGAACAACAACCTTCATCAATTTAAAGAAATGTGTAATAAGCAAATGTAAACGATCAATTTCTTTCGATTAAAATATCACTGTCATTGTTTTGAATTTCCGCTGTTCTACTGTTAAACTCAACAACGCCTGAATACCTGTAATAGTAAAGCAAGTGATAAAGACATTTAAACGTCACCAAATAAGAATTCCAGAATTTCTTATAATTTCTCACATTCATTCATTCATTCATTCATTCATTCATTCATTCATTCATTCATTCATTCATTCATTCATTCATCTTTCTTTCTTTCTTTCTTTCTTTATTTCTTTCTTTCTTTCTTTCTTTCTCTCTCTCTTTCTTTCTTTCTCTCTTTCTTTCTTTCATTGTGATAAAATAAATTTCAATGGTAAGCTAATGTTGAAAATTATGAAAATTAGAATTATACATGTATATCAAAATGACAATCATTATTAATTAATGTTGTTTTTCATTAAAAGCCTTTGATCTTGAGATGTCTAAGGTAATTATGCTTCTCTGTGAAATAAGGCCATTAAAGCTGAATATACTATTGGCAAAGATCACATCAAAAAATTTCTTTGTATTGACCTGGATTAAAATTGTTAAAATGAATTAACCATGGATCTTATTTTGATCCATTGGAAGCTATAAATAAGACAAAGAAACATCTCTTTGGATGCAATGCAACAATTCTGAGTGATGTATGGTCATAATGGACCTGTTGTTGTAATTTTATGTTGTTCAGGTTAAAATCTATGTTGTAAACTTACAAGTCCTAGGTTCTGCACTCATGATTATCATTAACGAGTTGATAAAATTGCTGATTGTTAGATCAGTTATAAACAAGCTGATAAAAGATGATATATAAAAAATTGTTTTTCCTGACACACTTTTAAGACAATTTTTTATTAAAGATTTTATAAACTTAAGTGTGGCGCTACATCTGTAATATTGAATAAAAGAAAGACATGTATTTAAAATTTGGTTTGCTTCATTGCATTTACATCATTACAAAATTATTTAAACTTTATTCTTTAGTTTAACATTGAAATTAAGTTATGCCCCTTGCACTGTTAAAATATGTATTTATAATTCATTTGCCTTACTACCAAAATATAAAACTTTCTTTTAAGATTTTATAAAAAAAGTTAAAATGTTGAGCATCCAGTGTTACGGTCAAGGTAAACTATATATTAGGTGTACAATTGCAGGGCCTGTTATGTACTGATGACTTAGTGGTGTCATTGCTAATATTAATGTTGGCCACCAACAATTGCAATATTGAAATAACATTCAGTCTTTTGAGAGATGACTTCTAATCCAGTTACCTCTCTGGCGTGGGTTTGATCCCCGGGAGATGCTTTGGTAGTTTAGCGTGGATGAAGGTAGTCTAGTACTGGTGTAACTCTCCAGGAACGATGGCTAGGAAACTACCCGCCTATATGACTGAAATACTGTTGAGAAAAGGCGTAAAATCAAACAAACAAACAAAACATAATTATGATAATTAAGATATAAAATTATTCTTATTTCGAGGGAGAAAAAAACAGAGATATTTATGAAGTTGCTTTACTGCCTGAAAGTGTACTTGCCTAAATTGCTTGCTGAGTAAAAGAATTGAAAAGATAATGCTCCACTACATTTACAAACTCTGGTGCATTTACAAAGACTGGCACAATTACAACAAAATTCAAATTCTAGTTCAATACAAATGCGGAGCAAGAACAAATTCAAATTCTGGCACAATTTCCAATTCAAATTCTTGAACAATTCTACTACTGTATACAATATCTGGCGCAATTCTTGTTCAATACAAATCTTGGCACAATGAAAATTTTAGTACAGCCCTTTTGCAGATTTTTTATATATTTGTTTGATAATTACTTGATTTTATCATTTACTACTACTGAACATTGTAAAAATCATCAAACATGTTTATTCAATATTGATTTTTAAATAATTTAACATTATACTTTATTCAAATGATTGTTTATTGTAGTTGGTGGCTCCAGAGAATGCTCCACTTAAAGAGGTGGAGGAGGAATATATTTTCCTAGAGGAGAAGAAAAATCATGTAGAGTAAGTGATAAAACTTATTGCAATTTCTCGTATTGGTCCCTTTAAGTTCTTATTATTTCACTTATTTGGTGTCCCTCCAATACTTTCGCTGCCCTTGTGTCCTCTTCCGGTCTGGTTTATGGTGCCTTCTGGGTGCCCTGCTGTGGTGGCTGGACTTTGTCTTGGGCTGCATCCTGTGAACATTGCCTTTGCCTTGTTGGTATTTGTTCACATTTTATTGTATACATTATTGATAACATATCTTTTTATCTAACATGTGATGATGGTTCAATTGATTTAGTTAGTTTGAACCGGTTTGAAATGATAACCATCTCTGACAAAGTACATGAATGAAGTTTGTTATCTTGTGAAAGTTTAATTGGTATATTATTTATGATGGTTATAAACTGTATCTGTCCCTTATTGATACATTAAGATGCAGCTATTAAGTTTTGGAAATATCTATATAACTGTATAATTCAATTCTGCAAGATATCTTGTAGAGTAGTCATTTGTTTTTGTATGAAATCTATTGAAAAAGACCAACTGAAATTATCTTTAGCAAGTAAATGTAGGACTTTAAAAAGGTAGATCTCTTCCAAATTATTTGAAAGTGTAATGCTCAGACTAAGATATAAACTGTGGCCACTGTTTTTTTTATAACTTATATAAAGGCCTTATGAAAACAGATTTGAATATTTCCGAAATTGATGATCTATATAACGGGTTTATATGTGTTGTTAAAAAAGGCCATGCGTAGCCATAAGCCCCAGTCACACTAGAGCTTACGACCAGTGAAGACCAGTTCACGATCACCAGTGACCTCTGGTCGCGGACAATCTTTAAAACGTCTTACGACGGTCATCGGTGATCTTTGGCAGTCGCAGGTTATCTTATTTAGGTCCCACGACCAATTTCAGTCGTAGAGAGGTTTTTGAGCTTGCACAAAAACCTCCTTGCGATCAAACAGGTTGCTAGTGATCTTATAAGGTCTTAAGGCTGTCGCACGATGGTCGTTCGGAAGTGCGACAATCTTACGACATCTTTACAAATTGCCACTAGTCACTGATAATCCTAAGTAGTCTTTAGTAATCGTGTGATGGTCGTACGACAAGTTGTAGGTGATCGCATGTTATGACATGGGTAGTCGTAAGTAATCCCAGGCAATCTTGAGACCATCGTACGTTTACTTATGACCTGTCGAACGATTGTCAATTATGACTTGTCTTACGATACTCGCAAACGTAAATTTATCTGTGCAAAAATGGTTTTGATCGCAGACAATCGTTGATGATCGTCAGTTATAAAAGTCGCCGGTGGTCGCAAGTAATCGTAAGCTCTAGTGTGACTGGGGTTTTATTAAATTTATGAAATTATTCCCAGTGTTAATATGATGCTTGGCTAATATTTTTACTGGATTGAGAAACAGTTAGACCATAATAAGAAAAGATTAGGGAAAAAGAGTGACATACCTACTTAATTGTACAAACTTTTTATATTATCGCAATAAAAACTATGTTGAACAAATTTTATTGTTTAATTTATTGGAAATGAACCATCAGAAAGTTTCAAATATAGACTTTCTCATTTGACAGAAAAGGTCAAGCACCAGTTGTAATAAGGATTTATATAAACATTGTTTTTTTTTTTGGGTTATTTTCAGTGCTTTATTGAACAAGGTGGCTAACTTGCTGAAATTCCCTAACAACCCAAAACTGGAGAACATGTTGCCACCTCTACATATAACGTCCAAACAGACGAAGACTGAGAAGATGAAGAAAGATCGTCAACTGTACCTGGCCCAACAATCTGCTCGCGAAAAGAAACAGCCGTCCATTACTGTAACTTCATAAGGAATTTATTACATAGGAATATTTACATTTTATATTTACATATACATATATTTTGACATATAATTTGACACAAATGATTGTTGATTGTAAATAATTCAATTCTTGTTAATTTGTTGCGACCTGTTCATTGTTATGGAACAATAAAATAGTTGATTTTGTTTTTAGTTTATTTATTATTTTTGAGTTTTCCATTTTATTTTGTATTAAGACAATGCAGCAATAAAATATCTGCCAACGAGTTTTAGATAGAAAATATGTGTTTTATATTTTTTTGTTAAAAATTATTATGGTTTCTTTAGCATATATCCAGGTTTGTGTTTTTTTTAAAAACTTGTCAAATTAGTGAAAATTGTTGTCAAGTGTAAAAATTAAATGGTATAAGAACATACATTTTTCAAGATTTAATCTTATTAACTATAGACTGAAACTTAATTTTAGAATTGATTTTGTTTTTCTAAAAATGTGCTCAAAATGAGAGGACCTGCAAAGTATTGTTGCATGAATATTCCTTCCTTTTAGGCCAAGTTTTTATTGAGGTATACACTGTATCTTGTATTGTAAAAATGTTTCTGTAATCTTGTAGTAAATGCACCTTTTGTTAGATATAAACCAGTATTATTAGAGTTATTTGAGATTTCATACAGTTTATAAGTATGTGTATTCTGTATTTTGTATGTTTTGATTGCAAACATTGAATTTTGTTCTCATTTTTCATGCCATGTTACTTATTTTTCCATAGATTGCATGGAAATTTTCGGAAAACACTTATTCAAGGAATGAATCATTTGCTTTCAGGACTTTAACTTTGAAGTTCATTGACAGTTTTCATTAACTTTGACATAAAAGATTTGCTAAATTATCATTATAATTATTATTAGTATTATTATTGAATGCTGGAAAGGTTTATAAAACATTCTTAGGATATTGTTGTTGCTTTGACCAGGCCAATTGCTATCCTGTCAACTTGTCAACATATTTTCAAAATAAATGTGAAATGGAGACTTAAACTTTAAGCCTTTCCTAAAGATATTAAGTATTTGAGTATAAAATTTATTCCAGGGTTTGTTCCTTGAATTTAACTGTTAAAACTAAATTTGTTTTATCATTTTAATTGTGTGTAAGTTTTCGTCGGTATTATAAAACAGGTTTTTTTTGCTCCAATATTTGTTGTAAAAATATTTATAGAAAACAAAAATCGATATTTCCTGTGGAGAAAATACATTTTTTTTCTTTGTAAAATTGTGTACAAAAATGTCTTTATCTTTGTTTTTCTTATAATTATTACATTTGTTTTTTTTATCTTTGTTGAAACTGCCGTTATAATATACTGATGATCATCATTCATTATACGAATAATGAACGCTGACAGAAAGAGTTTGTTCTAAGATGTAGCAGCGAAAATTTCTTTAAATCATTTGCAATTGTTTTATGTTTATGAAAAAGGTCATTCAGTAGTGACTTTTCGTTAATTCCAACCAACTCTCAAAATCCTAAATTTATGTATACACAAAAGCTTTGTTCTGTCGTGATTTAAGAACATTCCATGAGACTGTTGTACCAAATTTAGTAAGCATCTAGCTGTATATAGCATTGTTGGTCTATTTCGAACACGTTGACTCCCCTGGCTCTATATTGTTGACGTAGGGGAGACATCATTACTGACTGAAAACTTATAAATAAAATCTTTTAAATAAGAATTCTAGATTTTTTACATGCGGGAATCAAAAATTGACATTCAGTTTACAAATCTCAAGTAAAAATTACCAGGAATGCAACTGACTATATTTGAAAATAGAGAACATGTTTAGCTTTATTTTAAAGATGATCATTTGTATGTTATGTAATGTATATGTTTGCTTCTTCCAATTATTAAATATTTAAATTTTATAAACTTGACTGTGATATTTGATTCATTGCAATTCAATGTAGTTTTCGTTTGTAATTGTTTATCTGGGTACATATGTTTTGCATTTATTCTTCTATACTGTAATTGTGCTACTTGGGTATGTAGTTATTTTGATGACTGTTTTCTTGTAACGAATGGCATTAGATATTTATATCACAAGACTATATTTTAACTTTAGTGCAATAACTGGTTAACTCCTATTAAATTTAGAAGGACTTAATCCGTTACTGCACTTAGGTGACGATATTTTTATTGGTAATCATAAAAGGACGAGGAGAAGTTGTTGAATAAGAAAGTTGGTGCACTTTAATTAGAGTATTATTGTTGTGGTAGCTTGATTTATTATTATTACTACAAGTGTATGAACCGGATATACATGTCTTGTACGTATGTATGCTGTATTTCTGGACGGGGTGGTGTAGTTTGCAAAATACATACCAATCAACATTGAGTTTTAAATCAGAAATACATTTGTAGGTATGTATTGTTCCTACTCTATATTACTTTGATACTTGTCATTTTATCACTAAGGACACAGCTATTCAACCTTTTAAAGTTGATTTTATCAACCTCTTGGTGTATGGATCCTCATTTTAAGAGAAGAAGTTAAAAGTCTTTGTTGAAGTGAAATTTGAATTTATCCACCTTATCACTGTTTAAACGTTGTCACAATATGTACACAGTCATTTCCTCTTGCTCCCCTTATACTTCTGCTGGCACTTGTCATTAAAATTGATTAAAACATTAAATAATATTACTAAAAAGTTAATTTCTTTTTCTTGCCAAAATAAATTAAAAACAAAACAAAAACAACTTTACCTGTTTATCATGACGTAAAATACGTATCAATTTCTTAAATGATTATGCCAAAATATGGTTTTATTTTAACTATTTCATTGAATAAGTATATCTATATTTCTATGTTTGAAATTGCGTATGTTGGCTTTTATGGGCTATAAATCTGGCAAAATATTTTTCCAGTAATTCTATATAAATTATTATCAGTCATTACATTAGGATCTGATCTAAGATTTTAGATGTTTTTTTTTTTGATCAATTAAAAGTAATAACTGATGGACTTTTTTCTAGTAATAACTTTTCCTTCTTAATAAATAACTTCACATTTCTGATTGATCGTTAATTACTTACCTCACTTTGTTAGAGGTCAATTGAACGTAAAATGTACAAATTAAGAACATTTTAGCCGACTTTTGATGTATATCAAAAATGAAGGTACTTGCTATTTTTTAAGGATTTGTGTTTGTTTGTGAATGATTTGTGTATTTGACTGCATTTATCTTTACAGTATATAACTGAAAAATTAAACAATATTTTCACTCATATATTTTGTTGTTGTTATTTACTCATTTGTTACCTTATGCTGAGACATAGATACCAAATTCGTAACTGATCTTTAGTTATGTTTTTTGAGCCGAAAATCAACAACATGAAACGTTTTCGTTGTCAAAAGAATTGAACTAGAAACAAGAAAAATAAACTAAATACTCTGCATTTCTTATTTTTTGAGTTATTGCCCTTTGTTAATTTTCATACTTTATTTTTGTCCGGGCCATCTCTCCAAAAGTATAAAAGCTATGGACTAGAAACTTCATAGGATGCTAGAGCTCATTAAGAAGAAGTGCAGTGCACAATAACCGGTACTCTGCATTTATTATTTCTTGAGTTATTGCCCTTTGTTAATTTTCATACTTTATTTTTGTCCAGGTCATTTCTCATAAGTTATAAAAGCTATGGACTTGAAACTTCATATGATGATAGATCTCATTGATAAGAAGTGCAGTGCACAAGAACTGCTGCTCTGCATTTTTTATTTTTTGAGTTATTGCGATTCTTAATTTTCATATTTCATTTTTGTCCTGGCCAGTTCTCCTATACTATAATGTTCACAAGGCGACACATCCAACTCGCGCAGATCTAGTTTGTTTTTATTTTCAAGCCGCCCGCTTTGTTCAGTGTACGAACATTATCCTCGAATAATTCATATTTTGTCTAGGACATTGGATCTACTGGTCATTTGTTCAGAAATCATGTGGAATTAGTACTTAATGTAGTAGTCGGTAACTTGTGGAGACAAAGGTCGTTACTGGTTAATTATCCTGGAAAGCCGATTATGTGGGCCGATCGCCGAATGACCAAAAACATATGTCATAACTTATAACCGGTGTAAACCAGAAAAAACCCCACAAAGTTATAGAAAAATAAGAGTTGACAATAGGAAACAGGGTTTTATTTAGGTTTCATAAGATATACATAAAAGTGCAACATCTCTCACACCGACTTAGTGATAATCGGCACTAATTAACGGTATGGAAAGTGAAGAAAAAAACAACATTTAAATAACAGCCATAATCCTTGTTTAAGATCGTAACGATGAGAAGAAGTTTGACTTGATAAATAAGACATAAAAACGTCTATATTAGACAGTAATCTTACAAAGTAACCTCATGTTTCTTATGATTACTCTATACTATGTTGCCTGATTTCAGACTCTTTCGCATATGAAAAGAATAAATATAAACGCTACAATGACGATATATTTTAATCAATGTTGTTAAGTGTGTGTTGTGATAATTCGGCTGAGAGTATTTGTTATCATCTTTCACGAGATTTGTCAAGAGGTTTGTTATCATGAAATACTTGTAGCTTGTCAGTAAAACCTCTCAACTTGTCGTGATAGAAAACTACCAACTTTGAAAGGTTAAAATAAATGATTCTAGGTCATTTTTTCAGTTTACACGCATGCTATCAATATAAACGATAATTCATGTGTCATCCGGTTTCTTCTTTAGAGAAAAGCATAATATTCACCCGTCTAGGATTGCATTTATTAAGGCTATTTTAACCAGCTTGATCATATACATCTATAAACAAACTAGAACTGTGTCCAAAGGGCACTGATGCCCCCACTGACAAAATATATATGGTATATAGCGAAAAAATGAATAAAGGGCCATAACATAATTCTGTTAAATTTGGTCGCAGCAAAAATTCCTTCCTTTACTTCCATCTACACATAAGGTTGTTCATCCCTGGAAGTTTAAGCAAAATCTGCCTTCCGGTTTAAGAGGAGTTGCGTTCACAAAATTTCTATATGGTTTATAGTGAAAAAATCAACAAAGGGTTATAATTCTGTTAAACTTTGTCGCAGCAAAAATTCTTTCCTTTACTACCATCTACACATTAAGGTTGTTCATCCCTGGAAGTTTAAGCAAAATGTGCCATCCGGTTTAA